TGACTTTTTATTCAACTAAATTGATTAAAAATTGAGCAAATTTTCGTAAAATCTTTGTAAAATTTGTTAAAGTTGTTAACGACTCGTCAGAACAAGCATTAAGACAATGACAATGACAATGTAGAGAGTAAAAAGCAAAGAAAACCTTCAAAAAACTACTCTTAATTGAAGTATTCTAGTAAAGATCTTTTGATAGAGATTTCAAAAGTTGTTCAGATTATATTACATTGACAATTACAGGTTTTACATTTTACATTGACAATTACAGAAGAGTAAAGATTTATTTGTTGATATATGATAATCAAGACTCTTTGCATATAATTCCATTTATTTTGGAGTGAGAGGCTCCTTACAAAGGTTGGGCATTATTATCAACATAAAACATCCAACTTAAACTAGTCTGAACTAATGTAGAAAAAATAAAACAGTTAAAGTAGAAAATGCTTGGGCACACATCCTACATTAAAACTCCATAAAAAAGCTCTGATTATCTTAACTACTTACCTGAAGCAATCATGAAACTGACCCGGCAATATTGCAACTGGATATTTTGAAACAATAAGTTTTATCATAAGCAGACTTTTTTTTCAAGACAATGTAGAGAGTAAAGAGCAAAGAAAACCTTCAAAAAGCTACTTCTAATTGAAATATTCTATAGGGAAAAAGTCTATAAATGGGTACAAAGAATCTGCTAGAACATATGATCCCTCGCCATCTCATTAGAAGTATTAGAAGAGTTTTGAGTTCTCAAAACCTTTCCAAAAACAACTCAAAACGCTTTTAATGATATGGGTGTTGACGGATTAATCTAATATCTAACAGTAAATTCTAAATCTTTGTAACATGTTTTGATGAAGTTAGAATAAAGTTCTAGTTAAAGTTAAATTAAAAATCAATTTTCCCCAGCTGCGGATATGGGAAGAAAAAAAATTTGTTATGCCTAAAATCTTCCTGTTAAACTAAATATTTTGACGCTCAAATGACAACTTTTAATTCAAATGACTAAGTTTAAAACAACCCTAAATAATAAGTGAAAAGTAGTGATATATTTATTTTTTTATTTCTTTCTTTTTTTATTACATTCATATACTTTCTATACCAAAAAAATAGCTTAGTTTTTTTTTTAGTAAATAAATGAAAAAATGAACTAGATTTGACCTCAGAAACTATTTGCGCCGTTGGTCGGAAAACTGTTCAAGTTTAGTTAAAAATTAAAAGAAAAGAACTTAAAAAAAAATTTCTTTTATTTTTCGAATTAGTTTTAACTTTATTTAAGAAAATAGTTATATTTTATATTTAATTATGTTTTTGTGTTTCCAAACTTAAAAAACTTGTTTTGCGAAAATAAAAATTAATTATTTTAAGTTTTGACAAAAAAAAAGAAGTATAATAGAGTCAATATAAGTTGTGCGTTTGTAACTTTTAACGAACGATAGAATGGTTGAAAAACGTTTTGATGATATGATAAGATTATGGATAATTTGCATATAAATAATTTTATTGATATATACAAATTTACTAAGACTAAAATAATTTATTAAGAAACATTTATTAAGAACACCATGTCATTATTTTATTTTTATATCTTAGTTTATAAATTATACTTTATAAAACATCTTGAGTGAATCTCCTTGAAACTAAATCTTATTGTTCTCGGTGAGGATCTGGATGTCGCGGCGCTAACCATACTAGGTTACTCAAATTTAATTTGCTTCGTTTTGTTTGTCAGGTGCTGTTCTCTCTTGCTCTGCAAATTTTAAATCATTTTCAGCAGCTTGGTTTTCTTATATTCTTCAACTTTTTTCAGTTTTTGTTTTGTTGTTCTAGCTTTATTCATCTCATTCTATTTCTTTGCAATTTTTTTTTCCTTCGTGTCTTTGTTCGTAACAGGTTGTTTTTGCTCATTTATTTAGTTCAGCTTGCTCAACTTCTCTTTGTCCTAAATTGACTGGATACCCAAATTCGCGCCACACAACTTTTAAATAGCATAATTCTACACGTAGTCTTTAGGCGTTATAAAATTGATGTTATCCATATATTTAAATAGCAAATTTATAAATTATATTTTAAGTAAAGTGCTTTAGCTGTACTAATATATGATTCAAAGTTTTAACATTGGTGTACCACATAGCTACATTTGGTGCAGCAAATAAACCGTACGCCACGGCTCATTTTTTGTTAAGGATATTTTTTACTTTTTTTTTTCTTTTATATCTGCTTTTCGAATTCCTTAAAGTTTTTTTAATAGCGTACTACGGAAGAGTAATATAACTAAGAAAGTCATGCCTCCTTCTTACCGATGTCGCAAGTATGGCCGAGGCCAACATGGAGCAACTGACCTTTTGGTTCTGAAAGAGCTTTAACCATTGCGCTATGGCTGCTCATGAGATAACACGACACTAACCATACCACTTTTTAACTAAAATGTGTTAATATTGATATTTTTCATATCAAACACACTGTACTAGCTAGCACAAAATTTAGTTGTCTTAAAGTGGTACACTGCTCGGACATACAAGCCTAGATCTTGCCAAACCAATCCGTTTAAGCATTATCTATAATCTACATTTACACTTACGTAATTTGAATTTATAAGAAGTTTCAAAATAAGTTTAAGTTACAAGAGTTTTTGAATTATAGAAAATCAATTTTTATTTAACCTTGAAGGTACCGAATAACTTATTCAATTTAAATAAACTTTCGAATGATATGAGTTTGAATCACAAAAGTTCAACTCTAGTTTCAAAACTAGAGGCCTAACAAATATTCCCAATAGAGTGAGGTAACTAATATTCCATCCCAATAGAGTAATGTAACTAATATTCAATTGAATAGATTAACATCACAAATATCCGAGCTTAATAGGCTAATTAAAAATGCTGCATTGTACAACATGACAAATGAACATTATGCACATGTGACCTTATGTGTATTAACTTCTTAGCGGCTACTTCGGCGTCCATTTGTAACTTAAAGTTTGCAGTTGAAAAATGCATCTTTGCGGTTGCTTTAAAGAACTATTTTAATATAAAAAACTACCTAAATTTAAAAGTTTTTTCTTTTCTGCAAATAAAATCAAATTTACTAATATCCATGTATTTGTTTAAGATAAAAATTCACTAATAAGTAATGACAGGTAGCGAATTGAATGGCATAAATTACAAAAAATTGTAAAAACTATAAGTATTCACTAATAGTTTAATAGTGAATACTGTATTATAATTTAAATACATTATAATTTATTTGCATATTTTCACAAGATTACTCAACCTATATTATTACCGAAAAACACAAATGAAATGTCGAAACAAATTAATAAATAATATTAATAAAACGTATTATTTTTAAAAATAAAAAAAAAATAACTCAATTTTTATTGTAAAAAATGTTTAAAAAATTCAAAGCTATATTTTATCGTGTCCTTGAGACCTTTAAAAAGCTGTGTGCGGCGGGACAGAAGAAATCAGAAATTATGAAGAAAATGAACGGAAAATTAAAGAAATCTAATACCTAAAAATTCATTACAAATCTTCAAAGAGGAGGAGACGGTTTTTAGTTTTGCCTAAAACCACGTGCAAAAACCAAAAAACTTGTAAATGCAATTGATTGTAAGTTGCAATGCAACCGCTCGATTTCAAAGCTTACCAGAGAAGCCGGAACTTCAAGACAATCGATGCAAAGACTTATCCACAAAGATTTAGACTTATCCACAAAGATTTAGACTTATATATGTTATAATATTATAATCTATATAAGTCTAAATCTTTGTGGATAAGTCTAATAGATGTTGCCACGTATTTAATATAAATATTAATATGGGGCATCATTAGATGACAAAAAAAATTATCAGTATGCCAAGTAAAAAGTTAAAAGCATCCAATAAAGAAATTAAAATTGTTTGCTTTGTTACCTTCATCCATCAGATTACAGAGAGAATTCAAGCTCTGAAACAGCAACGCAGATTATTTTCCTTCACCTGGTCTACGCCTGACATCAATTCGGACTTAAAAAACAGTCAAGAATCTAAAGTTAAAGATCTCTTACTTCTGTATCTAAAATGATCTTAGTGAAGACAAGTTTATTGTTGAGTTCCACCACTTTTCGACTGTTCGACGCCATCTACTGACAAATGATCGGCCTTTATGCAAACGGTTTTGAAGGAAATTTCTTGTCTTCGTATCTTTCTTTTTTTGCCACTATCTGTGGCTGAAAGCGAGAGATTTTTAAGCAGGTTAACTCTCGTCAAGAACTCTCTAAGAGCTACCATGGGACAAGATCTTCTTAACGGCTGTCTTATCGAAACAGATCTTTCAAAGAAAGTTATTTAGGATGTTGTAACTTCCAACTTCGCTGCTAGAAAAGCTCGTAAAGCCTTGATATAATGTCAGAAAAATTTAAATAAAGAATTTTTAAAATATATTGTGAATACTAGAAATAATAGCTTTATTTTTCTTATTATTATTTTTATTTTGGTGTCGGTTAAGGAGGGGGAGGGAGCATCCATATGATCAAAAACAGCAATCAAATTTCTTGTAATCACAAAGACAAACAATAATGCTTGATAATTTAACGTTATATAATTTATATATATATATATATATATATATATATATATATATATATATATATATATATATATATATATATATATATATATATATATATATATATATATATATATATATATATATATATATATATATATATATATATATATATATATATATATATATATGTATATATATATATATATATATATATATATATATATATATATATATATATATATATATATATATATATATATATATTTAAACTATTAACTCTGGAAGTTTTTACATCAAAACGTTTCTTCCCATTGAAATTTTACAATGTTTTCTGAGAAACTTTTTGATGTATTTGTAACGTTTCTTCCCATCGGAATTTGACAGCGTTTTCATAGAAACTTTCTTATGTTTATTTCTTAATGTTTAATTAGAGAAAATAATTAAAAGACTTACTTCATTGATTAATCACGTGATAAGAGATAAAGTGTTGGTAGAGAATATTTTATATTTCCTTTAGAAGATTTGTAATTGAAAGATGTTTGCGGCAAGTCTATTGCATTGATTTACTGACTTTATTTTTTATTCAAAATACGCAAAGGGACCGTCATAGAAAAATTGACAACAGTGATAAGCAAACATGTTTGTTCCGAGCACATTCTTAAAATAAGTTGTACTTTAAAATGGTCATTTAATTGAAAATTACTCGTTAGGCGTTAAAAAAAAATTAATTGATTTGAACATCCGTTTATTTCTTGTGATATTTTAATCAATAAAAAAATATATATTTTTGAATATTTAATTGCTTCTAGATTAAACGTCCGAATCAGAAAGTATTTACAATATTTAGAAAGCACTTTAGAAATTCTAAGGATTTTAAAATTTTAAAATGTTTTGAATCTACGAAAAGTAACGAAAAATAACTTTGAAATTCATTTTAAATACATTTTCATTTTTAAAATTTTCTAAATAGCAAAAAAATATTTTGAAATATAATATTTTTTCAAATATTTCTTTTATAAATATTTTTTTTTAACAAAATATTTTTCAAGGTATTCATTATTTGAAATCAAAATCAAAAGTTTTCATAATTTAAATTTTTAAAATTTTTCATTGCATAACTAATTTTTCATTTAAGCATGTAATTTTTTTTATATCTTGTTTGTTTATATATATATATATATATATATATATATATATATATATATATATATATATATATATATATATATATATATATATATATATATATATATATATATATATATATATATATATATATATTCCCAACCATAAATAAACGTGTCATGAGATTGGTAATGTTTTTAATTAAGTGAAAAAAAATTTTATTAAAATAAAAACATTAACAATCTAATTAAGTAAAAACTAAATAAGAAAAAAAAACTTTCATTTTAACTAATAAAAACTTGAAAACTTTCATTTTAATAAAGACTTGGCATAAGAAATATCACAGGGGAGGGGGGTGCGTTTTTCAAAAGCTCCTCTAAGTAAGATGATTATTATTATGTATTTTACTGATAAGAAAAGTTAATAAAGACAAATTCAGTTTTACCGCCAAAAGCTTTAATCTAAATTTTTAAAAGAAGTAAAACTTCCTATTTTTTGTCAACAAATATATTGTAGCGTTGTAGCAATAGAAAAACAGTTTGTTAAGTATAAACAAGTCTGGCGTGGCATAATATTATCACCGGTTGTATTAATTAGGTATTTATTGTTGTCTGGGAATGAGTAGATAATATCGTTACAATATTTTGTATAGAAAGTTATAATTAGCTGTATAGTATATACAGCAAATTATAACTTAATTTAAAAAAAAAAAAAAATATGGGTAGGAGTGAGCCACGGGCAGGAGTGAACCATTGATCCTATAGCTAAACAAGCCAAGAAAATGGCTCCAAGATTTTGCAAAGAAATCATTGGAAAATTATTGTTGAGGCAATACAATTTTTTACCGTATTTTAGTTCGGGTGTTTACGTTAGCGGTGTATTCCACTTTTTACGGTGCAAAAGTAAAATTTTTGGTACTTTTTGAATGTTCTTTAATAAACACATCAGCTATTTCAAGACATCAGATAATTATAGAAAAATAAATTATAAACAGTTTAGTATTTAAGACAAATTATTTTTTTACACATAGACCACATACTTATTGTACATTCAACACTTTCATCCAGTTATGGAGGAACGAGCCATTTTTGTAAGGGTAGCTGAGAACTGCGGCTTACTTGTACTTAGTGTAAGTTTTAAGTTAAAAAAAAGTTGTCTTTTGCATAAAAACATTATCAAGTTTGACTTAAAGTATTTAAAGTGTAACAATGCCTCGAGTACATAAAAGAACTTTAAAAGAAACTTTACAAGAAGTACTTAAAAAACAAAAAATTTCAGTATAGATATGAAAGAAGCATTAACTTTTTTCGAAAAAAGGAAAAGAAATACAGCAAAAACTTTCAAACATTTCATAAGCAACGCTTCGTCGTTATTGAAAAAAATGCTGGTTGAGGAAAGTATTAGACTGACTCCGAACAATTATATTGAAAGAATATTCACAGATAAGCAAGAATTAGAACTGAAGGAATATATTCTGACTTGCTCAAGAAAGTTTTATCGATAAAATAATGTCGACATTATCAGCTTATGAGATAGCAACTATTAATAAAATTAATGTTCCACAAAAGTGGTACAAGAACTAAATGGCAGGCATCAAATGTATGAACAATTTTAGAAAACGACATCCAGATTTGTCCCTAAAAACACCTGAAGGATGTTCTCTTTCTAAGGCAACATCATTTAATGCCCATAATGTAGCTATATTTTTTGGTAAATTAAAAGAAGATCTTGCAAGATCACTAACATTCACAAATGAAACACGGATTTTTAACTTTGATGAAACTGGAACTGTTACTGTGCAAAACCCAAACAAAGTAATTTTCAATAATTTCAAATTTTCAATAAATTTTTTATTTTTATTACTTTGATTTTTTTATAAAACTTTGTAAGGTTCTTGCAAAGAAAAAAATTAAAAGTGTCTGCAAAGTTACAAGTGCTGAAAGAGGAACCCTTGTCTCAACTTGTGTAATAATTAATATCTTCCACCAGTACTTATTTTTCCGCGAGTGCGTTTCAAGGAGCTTATTTTGTCACGAGCACCTTCTGGATCTATTGGATTTTCACTTGGATGAAAAGTGAAATCTTTTTGGACGTTATCAATCACTTTATAAAATTTTCAATGAGTACTAAAGAAAATCCATCGCTACTAATCTACAACAACTGAGAAGCTCACTTACCCATAGAAGAGTTAAATAAAGCAAAGGAGCATGGAGTGATCATTTTGACATTATCACCTCATTTCATATATAAGTTGCAGCCTCTTGATGTGGGTGTAATTAGATACGTGGACTGATTTTTTTAAATTAACCAAATACTAGAATGTGATTTATCATTAAAAAGCTCTCAAATACAGTATTTTAAAAATGAAAAAATTATGAAATTAGACAATTTTATAAAAGGTTATAACGTTTTTAGTAGCAAATTTTCGATATATGGATTTCCTAATAAAACTGTGGTCCAAAAATTTTTTTTTACAAAAATTATTATAACTTGGCCAATTCTTATTCAAATATCTATAACTTGGTATCAAAAGATAGATGTTAAAATTGACTATAATTTCAAACAAATTTCTAGGCAAAGGGCCATCTAGGGTATCCAGAGGAGTTGTTAATCTACTACACACACCTCACAAAAACACACTTTTTTCAGAAAAGAGTGTTTTTTATGAAATTAATATTATTTATATACAAGAAGTTGTTATCATTTTATTTCACATCACTAGCGAATATTACAGGACTATCTTAAAGTTGTGTGTTGGGTTGTGGGTAAGATTTACGACAATCTTTACTATAATACTTCAATCTTTACTATAATGATTAAATCTATTATAAAAAAATAAAGATATATTTTAATAATTTGAAAAAGAGTAAATAGTGGTATATAAACTACCTTTATGGGAGGGGGCGTATGCCGCCTTCTCCTTCCACCCAAAACATAAAAAAAAAATTTAAACAGAATTTAGGTACTAGTAGTACGACACTTTTTAGGCTATCTGCGACACCTTATTTTTCAATGAATTTTGGCAAGTAAAAAGAAAATTTGTGCAGAAAATTTAAGAGATTTTAAAACTTTTACTATTACAACATCTTACCATGACAACATGAGAACATCAACAAAGTTTTCACATGAGAACATCAACAACGTTTTCAAGAGTAATTAAGTTAACATATAAGTCTAGTAACCATACATAAAAGTCACATATAAATCAAGGTAAACTCTTCTTTTTTTCAAAAACAATCTAAAAATATGTTTCTTTAAAGAAACACAACAAAAACACGTTTTCTTGATGCTACTAAAAAAATGTTCAAAAATGTGTCTTCAGTTTTTTGGCGTATTTTTTGGCTCCAGATCTCGTGATTTCCGCGTACCTAGGGTGGAATGCAAGAAGCAAACTTGAGTCAAATTCGACTTGAACTTTACTTTGTAACCAATAGCGGCAGAGTATTTTTTGAGGGGAAAACCCATACACTGTCGCTATTGAAGTTCAAGTCGAGCTTGACTCAAGTTCGCTTCTTGCATTCCACCCCTAGTGTAATGGGACCATTTAAAACTGCATTTAGTGCAGTAAATAATATATGGATGCTCCGCAATTCTGGAAAAATATTTACAATTTACCAAGTAGTTGAATGTGTAACATCTTTTAAGATTATAGCTGCATTTAAAAAAACAGGTATTTTTCCATATAACAGGAATGTGTTTAGGAAAGGTTTAATAATCCTAAAAGATGACTTTTGTGATCGTGATATTAACCCTTAAGAGGAGGACTTTGTATTAGTTAAATTTTGAACAGCAAAAAAGACTTCATATTGTATCGGAAAGGTATTATATTCAAATTCTGTTATAGAAAAAGTTACAATCAGTTTTCTTTGAAAAAAAAGATAGTATTTTTAAGATGCCTGATTCACCTGAAATTTTGACTGTCCCTCGAATGGATGTTAAATTAATACTATCTTAACCAATATTTTACGGAACAAGTTAAAGCCAGCATTCCCATTTTAAATTTGAGATTGTGCTTGACTATATTAATATTCGTTAACTATTAATTTTATTGCTCATATAATGTATGCTATTATAGTGCTATTATAATGTTGCAAATGGAATTTCTGATTATCTTAATATTTGTCATTTATTTTTTGATATTGCAGTTGTTATTTTTTTTTTGCTGTTGTTGTTGTTAAGACAGTAGTAATATAGAGTGTGAACAAATTATTGTTCTTGTGCTTTATAAATTTTATATCATTAGATGAGTTTAAAATAATGATAAAATTTATTGTTACATGATTACTTAATTGCTATGCTTATTAGTAAATTATTTGATACTTACCTAATTTTTACTAAATCAGTTCAAAACAATACATAACTTTAATTTTCAGGTAAATAAAGCTAATAACTCACTCCTACCCATTCCTTGGTTCACTCCTACCTGCGTATCGGTATGAGTGAATCAGCAGGAACACCTG